GTCAAGAGCCAGTTTTGTTCTGAAGAGGCCGATAAGTGGGACTAAAACTAATATTTACAGGAAGTGAAATGCAGCCTCTCAGATGAGACCAAAAGACTCAGTTTGATGTTGTGGAATTAACTAAGAGGATAGTTCAACTAAAATTTAAACAATTCTGACATAATTTACTCGCCCTCCTGTCATCCCAAACCTGTGTGACATACTTTTTTCTTTGGTATGTAGAAAGAAGATATCATTTGAATGCCAGTGGGGTCCAAACAACTTGAGGAAGAATAAGTTATTTTGGGGTGAACTATTCTTTTAAGTCACATTTCACTCTAAAAAGTAATTCATTAATCATTATTAGCCTGAAAAGCATTGATCAGAAATAGTTTATTTTGATTACAATAATGCTGATTAATTTGCTTGGTTTGCGCTGTGATTGTGTGTGCTTATTAGAGGATTGTGTTAGCTTAGCAACATGCTAACATAAGAGTCTCTCATGCACAGAGCTGCTTGTGTGCTGCATGGAATTGCTGCCTATGTAGAAATTAAATGTGCCAATTTATTTTTATTTGTGTTTAATTAGTAACTTTTCATATGAAGTAAAGTTTTTTTTATTTTATTTTTTTTTGTGAAACATTTGTTTTGACTGTGGATAACTGATCTTTATAAATGCTGTTGTTTTGAACTTTCTTTTTATCAAAGAATCATAAAATATTTCAAATTACCTTTTTTTCTGGTCAAACAGCAGAAGAGACTTCCTTTAAATACATAAAACACCCTTGCAAACCCGAGACATTTGAACTGTTGTGTATTTTCCAAAAAGTCTCATTACAAGATGTGCATTAATTGTACAATGTTACTCTCAACACTGTTTATAAGTGATGTAAATCTGTCTTTGCATCGTGATTGTCAGGTTGTCTCATACATGCAGCATATCTAGGGTTTCTGCATGTTCTTTCAGAAATGCTGCGAAAACACATTGTCAAAGGACGCTCTTAACTGGAAGCAACCGTTTCATTTCAAATAAGAATCGTCAATCGACAGGCGCTATAAAATGCATTGTTTGCGGAAATATTTATCACTTGCTGCTATATAGGCTGTACTTTAATTTATCTGGATGTTAAGCGCTCATTCCCATTGTTCAGTGCTACAGCTAATCTTGTCCTAAAGACTCCTTTTTGATTAGGCATTAGCAGCACATGAAAGGTTATTAAGGCCACTAATATGAGGGTTTGGAGGGCGTCTGTGCTGAAGAATAGGAGGGAACCTGTAAGAGACAGGGCTAATTACCATCCATCCTTCTATGTGAACCCAACCATCTGCCAGTGTCACCCACTTATTGTCTATTGGCTTTCAATCATGAACGGACCGCTGCAGCCAAAGATGTGTGTTTTAATTAGAGAGCGTCTCTATAATTATATTTATATTATAATAATGACTTTGACGAAGCGTTTGAGTGGATGTCCTTCATTGTTCACTAAAATGATAATATTTAATTATGATGTTTGAACACTGCAGATTTGAGCAAGCTGAGTGGTTCTCTGTCTCTTTGACATACACACGTGGGCACGCCACCACACACACACTTTTGTGCTCTCTCGTTCTAGCTCTCTTTTTCAAACACACAAATACAGAAGACACAAGTTCTTGCTGTGTACAATAGTGCCGCAGCACTCATTTGCTTTGTTCTAAAACCTAGTGAGGTGCCTACTTGGGCATCATAAGCCTTAAAGTAGTAGTTCACCCAAAAAAGAAAATGATGTCAAGTTTTATATATAAGAAGGTGTGTGTGTGTGTGTGTGTTTTCCCTCCATAGAGTGAAGGCAGTGGGCTGACTTGACAATGTTTACAGCTATTTTTCATTGTATGGGCAAAACAATTGAAATATTCTTCAAAATATCTTGTTTTGTGTTTCACAGATACTGTGATAAAGATACTGCTTTTCAACTATGTGAGGATAGAATATTAATTTTCTATCTTTTTAAAATGCTGCCGCCTCCTAAGATGCTTTGCTTTTTCCCAAATTCTGTGAAATAACTGGTTTTAATCAATATTCTTTCAGTTTGATTATTTTATCGTTATTCCTGTCTTCCATCAATGATTTACTATTTGCGCCATTAGCTTTGCCACATGCTAACATCAAACTCTATTGGAATCACCTGTGAATTGCTTTTGGTGTTGCTAATTGAGTTTCTGCCTATGTAGAGCATTCCAAATCAGTCAGTTATGAGTTACCATGATGATTAGAATGCAGCCTCAGAAGGCAGCTCGCTATTTAGGCAATGAGGCAGATCACTAGGTTTTGGAACAGAGCTAGTGTTATTAGTGGAAGGTAGTCATGCAGGACTCTGCAGTCAATGTATTCAACTACAGTCGGTTTGCTCTCTTTCGCACACGTGCATTGCGTCCCCTCCGTCACTGCTGTGCCATACCTGTTCCCTTCCCCTCTGTATGCACGCTTAAAGTGAATTAAAGGGCACTTGGAAGCGAGCAATTAATCCCTGATGTCTAATCTCGTAATAACACCATAAAGAGCCACTAAACCAGGAAGGAGATAAAGACACTTTCATCCAGCCCTGCTCACAAATCACGGCCTCCATGCAGCACCCAGAGTCGATGTGGCTGTAGCATCAGTTCACACTGCCTGGAGACCAAATTATCCTCCTGATTGATTGAGTTTCAAGGCATAAACCGGAGGACGATTCGCCTGCTCGGCTTTACGACTCTCTGTCTCTGTCTCGCTCCCTCGTTCTCCCGCCCAAACATGAGCGGCAGCGCAGAGATAAGTGACTTAAGTGAACTACAAAGTGTCGGGAGCGTGGAGCCATTTCCATATCGCCTTTGTACTGCCGATGCCGGTCATGGTTGGAGTTAACCCTATAGTGTTGCGCTGGATCATCTTTCTGGCTCTTGCCGGATTTCTCTCTTGTCGGATTTTCCTTTATGGAATTCGAGCTGCGGTTTGTGACACCGCCCCCTGGTCTCGTGTCTCTTTTCAGCTCTTGTTATACCATGAATTTGTGATTTGTGAGGTGTTATGGAAGATGGAGCTGCATGAGTAGAAAATTCTCATTTGCTTGATGAATGAGTGTTTGGTGTGTTGTAATGCTCAAGACAAATTAAAACTAAAATGACCAATTTGAGTGAAAATACACAGGCAAATGGACAGTGTAGGTTATATGGCAATAAAAATACGCACACAATTTTTTTTAAAAATACTTTTAATTTTCATCGAAATATCACATATTTCTAAAATGTATATTTTTTGTACTGTAATTATAGCTGTAGTTAAATTATGGTTCAAACCTTTTTTAATGTTTGGGAAATTATTTTATTTTTCACCGAGGCTACATTAATAACTCAATTAAAAAAATAATTTACACTTATTTTTTTTTAAAAAAAACACTTATATTGTAAAATATTATTTTAAGAAAAAAAGTTTTCTTTGATTTTTTTTTTTTTTTAATGTAGTTTATTCCTGCTATGGCAAGGCTGAATTTTCAGCAGCCATTACTCCAGTCTTCAATGTCAAATGAAAGAAATTATTTTAATATTTAATGCATCTTTGGTAAATAAAAGTATTAATTTCTTTCCAAAAAATAAAATAAATCTTATCTGACCCCAAACTTTTGAACAGTTGTATATAATACATTTTAAATAAATAATCATGATAATTATTTTCTTTTTTTCTTTATAGGGTGTACTGTATTATATATGAATGCGTTAAACAATACCTTTGCATAGACAGGTATCAAGTAAAGTTTACTGACTAGACTTTTCATATGGCACTGATGACAAGACATATCAACAGGACATTGATATAATGTGTCATATATAACTTACAATCACTATCGAATTCATACCAACAAATAAAGGGATTTATTTTTATTATTATTTTTTTAAATCTAAAGGTTTTTATTCTATTTAACAAATGTTAGGCCATTGAATAACTGTGTACTGCAGTGTTATATTTCCAACATTAAAGCATTCTAGTCCCTTTACATTTCACATGATAGCCGAAATCTAATTAGTTTATCACAGTAACTTGACCGCACAAGCTCAGTAGCATATCCGAAAGTCTGATGCTCGGCCATGGCCCTCCCGCTGTGTGCTCCAAACAGATAAGCTAAAGAGCAGCGTGGTCACCCATGCAGAAATACCCAGAGTGCATTAGGGCCACTGCAGTCTCCTCCGCACTCTGAAGACGCCCACAGTACACAGTGCATTACAGCAGCCTGCAGAACCTGTACAGACACTGCAGCAACTTTGAGTCAGTAATGTTGTGAGGTAGCTTGATCCTGCTTTTTTCTAATTTATCCTCTTTTCTCATTTTTTCCTCTCCTTTTTTACCCTCTCCTCTCCTCCCTTCACTACTCCCCATTTCCACCCTGTTCCTTCTCTTTCCTTTTCTTCTGTCCGCTTGTGTCTGTGCCTAACTTTTTGTGTTTTCCGCTCTATTTTCTCTTTTTTTACTATCTTCTCCTCTCATATCTTCACACGTTCACATTTTTGCCCTGTTCTCCATTCTATTTTCCTCTGTTCTATCCTCTCCTTACATCCTTTTGCTAATGTCCATTTTCCACCTTTTTTCCTCTCTTCTCTTATTACTTCTCTGCTTCCTTATTCCGCCTTGTTCCCTATTTTTGTTCTAACCTCTCCTTTTTTCCATCCTTTTTTTCTCTCTCACCTCTATTTCCTCACTTTTTGCCCCGTTCCCTATTTTTTTCTCCTTTTCTCTCCTCTTTTCTAATGCCTATTCGTGATTTTTATTTACTCCACTTCCTATTTCACCCTGTTTCCACACCTGTTCTTCTCTTATTTTCACTATTCCTCATTTTACACCCTTTTCCCTCTTTGTTTTACTCCTCCTCTTATTTCTTCACTACTCCTTTTTTCTGCCCTGTTCCTGTCCTCTCATTTTCCATCCTGTTAATCCTCTCATTCCCTCTCCACTCGTCTCCTCCTCCACTTTCCTCTCCTCTTTCATCAATCCCCCCCTACCCCCCCCCGCACAGGCTTCCCGGCAACAGCGTACAGTCCAGTAGCAGCGGCGGCAGCAGTGGCGGCAGCGCGTGGCTCAGGTAGGGGGGCCCGTGGAAGAGGCGGCTACGCAGCATACCCTCAGAGCACAGGGCCAGGTAAACGCTCTGGCCGTAGATCTGTGTGACTGCTGCTCTTAACTCTAGCCGCCTCTGTCCTCTCTCACACACTCACACATATATACACTGTCTGTAGTTTGAAGGAAAGGACAGGACTCAAGGCTCCTTCCTGCTTCCCCTCCTTTCCTGTTGTAAATGTGATTTATGGCGCTGGCAGAAGTCACCCCACTAGCCGATGGTCCGAGACCAGCTTTTCCCCCCTGTTTTCTTAATTTAGTTAATGTCAGGATTATTGTCGGTGGAACTGGTAACAGATCAGGGCGCAGGGGCCAGCTTCTGCTCGCACAGCCATTTGTACTTTACTGTAGCTGTATTTGTTTCGCTAACCACCTTCCCCACACACACACACACACAAGCAAAACACATTAAACATGGACTTACACGAATGAGCCTTTTCATTTCTCTTGGTTTGTCAGTTTTCACATTTAAATGCCGGTGCTCTCGGCCGTTAATGCCGCCTTCTGTCATTCGGACAAACTTGGTTCGCCTTTGACTAGAAAACAGAGAGTGTGCACATTAAAAGTTCCCTGTCGCTCCCTCGTTCCGCCATGGTTATTGATCCAGAGGCTGGATAGCTTAATCTATCAATCTGACTTTGTCTGTAAGACACAAGGATACTTAAATAAATAAACAGCAGGGAGGAACAGCCCTCGGCCTTCTCGCTGACGTCTGGCCTTTAGCACAATGGGAAATGATGGCCATGGCTAATTGGAGAAAGCGATGCCGTAGCGGGTGCAGAGTTTATTTACACACATCCACACTGATGTGTTGTCCAAGCATGTAAAAAAGCAAACATACACTTTTTGCTCACGCGCATGCGTTTACTGCATATTTTGACTCGAGTTCGCTCCATTGACACCTGCTCTCCGGCAGACAGCTATCCACCCATGTGTAATTGGCAGACAGGCGTAAAAGTGGCTCGGCGCATGGTTTGAAGGAACGCAGTCAACAGAGCGTTAGCCAATCAGTCATGCCTCTCCACCCAATCAGACGTGTTTGATTCTGATTAGCACTTGGCTAAAAAAAAACAACTTAGCCTGGAAAAAAAAACAGCTCTCTGCATCTCGTTGCTGTTTAATGTGTGTGAATTACGCCAGGCTTGTTTGGAGCGGGCTCTGAGTTTAAAACGAGAGCTACATGAGAAATGACTCTCAGGCAATGGTGTCTCCAGACTTTTAAACAGCTCGTGGTCATAGTTGTCAGCTCGAAGAAGTCATATTCGAGGCTGGCATTTTGAAATTCAGATCCAGTGAGCTTGATTTTCATTTGAACATTGAAAGCTTGGGTTATACTGTGTGTTTTGGAGAGAAATGTGATTAGGTAAGGTCTTGGCCCACTGGACCAAGTTTATTAGGCCAGCGTAGTTATTTTAGCACCCTCCCACCCCCTATGGCTAGCGTCTTAAGCTGATGGCGCAGTTGCACTCTTTTGTGACTGATAGAGTCGCTCCATGGTTGCGTTGTGACAGAAGTGAGAAAGCCATTGAGACAGAGCACTGACATTTAAGGATGACCTTTTCCGAGAACCTCATCATCTATTACCCAACTGATCTCCATTGCGCAGCACAATTTATACACCCCTGCTGTGCATACATTTGCTGCTAGGCGGAGGATGAGATGTGTTTGCGTGCCGAATGTCAGTCAGTTAACTCCTGCGCAAACCTGCCGGCAAGGGTACGGTGAAAGTCAGAGGCTCCGCTCTGACAGACGAGCTGTCGCACTCCATTCTGCGGAGTACTCTGGTGAAATGGTGACGCCGCAGACGGCTTTTGCAGATCCTCTTCATCACTGCATAATCTCCGTCAGTCACCCGAGGGCTGTTGCACTTCCTCCACCTGCTTGATGCAATAATTTAAGTATTCAAAACAGAGGTTCTAAACATAGGGGTCACAATTCTACAGCATGTGGCTCACCAGAGATGCAGGTAAGGTCAAATAAATATAATATAATTGAATATAATTAATTGAATATATTTAAAAATGTAATTTAAACCTGTGATGAAATGCTGAATTTTAAACAGCATTATTTTTCCAGTCTTCGGTGTCACATGATCTTGAAAAAGTCATTATAATATGCTGATTTGCTGCCCAAGAAACATTTCTTACTATTATTAATGTTGAAAACAGTTGTGCTGCTTAATATGTTTGTGGAAATGGTAAAAGATTTTTCCAGAAGTATTAAAACGTTCAAAAGAACAGCATTTATTTAAAATAGAAAACTTTTATAATATTTATAAATGTCAGTTTTGATCAATTTAATACAAGACACAGAATAAAGTATTATTATGTCAAATTAAATAGTAATATATTTACTGTTGAGAACAAAATATGATGCATTTGGAATCCTTAAGTGTGTAACTTCTGTTATGTGGGTGAATTGTGGTCTCAAGAATTGTGAAACAAAAAAGGGTTGTGACCTAAAGATGGAGAACCCCTGATTTAAAGTCTGATATTCCACTAGACCTGAGTCATCCAGAGCAGCAGCTTTTTAAAATTATTTATTGGCAGTAAGGTAATAAAATAAATGAGACATACTTTAGCTAGGCTAAATGGTGTGTGTAATTTGAATGGGTTTCGTTGGTTACCGACTGGACCTCTCTGTATCAGTTTGGCCCATGAAACAGATCATCACTTGGTAGTGATTGATCATTATGCTTCAGTTAACAAGGACAGATCAGCAGATATTTTTTTATGGTCTGGAAACATGTTCATTTATTACGAGCTACTTTTCAGATTGGTTTTAGCGTTTTAAACTGATTGCGATTTGTTGTACATAAATGTACATAAATTCACTTAGAGTCAAGAGTTATTAGAGTCAAGTTTGTTAAAGCCAGAACGTTCGGTGGAAGCTCATGAAATGGCATGTATCTGCACCCCAGATTTAATCTAGCACTTGAAAACTTTTCATTTGTATATCACTTGTACAATGTTCATTTGTACAATGATAATAAAAAACACCCACAAACCAACCCTGTTGATGTGTTGGTGTATAGTAGGACACTTGGCCGATGGTCATGTTTCTGTTGTTTCTCTCTTGTTTGGTTTGGTCCTGCTGAAAGCCAGAGTGTGTGTAAGTCAGAGACAGCACCAGTTGACTTCCTCTCTCCACACTGTCCTCTGGTCACACTCCAGTGGAAGGTTTGTCCCTGCTCCTGTACTTCCCTCTTCCCATCTTCTTTCTCTTTCAATCTTATTCTGTTCTCTCATTTATGTATCCTTTATCTTGGGTTTCAGTATTATACCATTTTCCTTTTTCGGATCTGTTTATCATATAGTGCAACCTGCAGTGCTTGAAGGGATAGTTCATAAAAAAAGATTCTACTATTTACTCACCCTCATGTTATTTAAAATTAAAAAGATTTAAAATCTATATGGCTTTCTTCTTTCAGATGAATACAAAAAGGAGAAATTCACTCTGTCCATGCAGCTACAATGTATGGGTACTGAAGCTTCCAAAAGCTCCATAAATGTATCATAAAAGTGATGCAAAAAAAAAAAACACTGTGCGGTGTTACGTTAGTATTATATATGTACTATTACATTTTTGATTAATATTTAGAATTTTTTTTTTCAGTTTTATTTATTTTTTTATTTTATTTTTTTTGCTTTAACTTGAACTTGTTTTAGTTTCCAAGGCATTTGTAATTTTCATTTAAAAAGTTTAAATGAAACTTTAAATGTTTTTCATCTCTTTATTTTTTATTTCAGCTTTGTTTCAATTAACAAAAATGTTTTTTAGTTTTAATAGTTTTAGTTAACGATAATAACCCTGGTTTTGTGACGAATCATATATTTGAATTTAATATTTCCAATTAATCGGTTGATCCAGTTCACAAAATGATTCATTCACAGTCCAGTCAAACCAAATTTGTAATCCTTTTATGGTGCTTTTCCATCCTTTTTTAAAGCGTAAACTCTCCAGTTCCCATTCACAGTCTTGGAACAACATGAGGGTGAGTAAATGATGAAGAAGTGTCGTTTTGAATAAACTAATCCTTTAACACTTGTCAATACTTCATTCTTTATTCCACCCACCTTAAGTATATTTTTGTTCTCTCCTTTTTATTCCAGTCCTGTTCTCATTCTTTGCCATTTCTCTCTGCTTCTTTTTTTTTCTTGAACCTATATGTGTCTGTTAGTTGACTGCATGCCTCTCTAGTGGTTCTGGTAGAAACTGTAGATCTAGATTTGAGTAGGTGGTCATGTCTATTAATTTGTATTTGGAAGGAATGCATTATGTCTATCGTCTTTTGTCTTCTGATGCCAGATTTAAAAAAAAAAATGCTATTTACATGTTTTGGATCGAAAGTACTTTTTCTCATTTATACCCCTTCAGCTTGAGGAGGAGGAGGTGTATAAAACAATATCTGACTTATTGAGATCTCCTGCATGAACCGGGTGTTTATAGAATGACATTCTGGCAGTGCCGCCCCACTTCCTCTTAGCTCTTTGGCAAACAGAGAGAGATGACTCACAGGAAATGCAGAAGTTATCTGACACTGCACATCTCGCAAAAGCACATCCTATCATTGGAGACCTGACAATCTCAGCACCTCTGCTCACTTGGGTCGGGGACAAAGGGCCACCGGTGTCCCTGGGGTGAGACTTGTCCCTCCAAATTCTTTCAGGCTCTGCCATCCCTTCCCTCCCTCCATCTCTTCTTCTTTCCTTCTACAGAGAGGTGAAAGTATGGCGTGTGTGCACTCGCGTGTAAGTTAGAGAAGCGGGCGGCACAGAAAACCTGTGTCACTCTCCATTAACTGTCGTATCCTGGCAGACAGGCCCCGGACTGCAGCTGTGTCTGCTTCGTTCGCTGTGATGTCCGCAGGTGCAATCTAGGCCAGGCCGTCTCTACGGTGCCAGCCGCCCATGCTGCAAATATGAAACGCACTTCATACTTGTCTGTCACGCTCCTGATGAAGATAGATGTATGTTTTCACCATCTTGCGGCTAGCTGTCCGCTTCTGCACTCCACCTATGC